CGCCCCCCGCGCAGCAGCGCGCCGCCTCCGGGGGGCGTAGCAAGGTAAGCGGCTGACAGCAGCGGACGGTCCGGCTCAGCGCTTGCCTCCCGCGGCGCTTCGGGTTCCCGCACAGCTCCTTCTCCCTTTCCTCCCTCTCCCCGCTCCGGTTCTCACCGCCGGCCCTTCCTTTCCTAGTTGGCAGTCTTTCTGATCCCAGGCTGCCCCCAGCCCTCGAACTCTCCTGACCCCTCTCACCTCCTAGTCGCTTCTCTTCCCAGCCTTTACCCCGTCCTGTCCATTCCCTTCTTCCAAGTCGCCCCGCGGACTAAGTTCAGATGTAAATGACCGGCCTGGCACCGTGCTTCCTGCTTATAGGGACTGGTATTGGCTTTCTTCCCTCAACCTGTCCTCCTCTCTGGTCTTTTGTTCTCTTTCTGGGGGAGTTCTGAGGGATGGGGGTCCCAGCGGAAGGGAAAGGTTGGGCAGTGGCGACAGTGACCTGTGACTGTCCCTGCAGGGGCGGGGGCTCCCCGAGCTCGGGGAGATTGGAGCAGGGAGACCGCATGTCTGCAAATCTCCAGTTTAGGGAGCTTTATCCTTGTCGAAGTCATAACTGCTCTTCTTTCTTCCTCTGGGACTTCAGTTTTTGTGTTGTTGTTTTTTATCACTGCCTTTTCTACTGATAACACTTGATGACTTCGAAGCGAATATACTCTTTAAGTTTTTGTGGAACCTAGTACCGTTAGCAACAGGTGGAATACAATGTATTTTACATTTGCAAGATTTAATAAAGCCGTCTCCTTTGCTCATTGCAACATGAATTGCTGGCTCCTGCTATTTGTTGGTTCCTCGTTCTGTAACCACATCGTGTTTGTGTGTGTGTGTGTGTGTGTGTGTGTGTGTGTGTGTGTTTTGAGACTTCCACCTGCTTGGAACACTCCTTTTTCATTTCTGGGCTCTGGGGGCTTAGCATCATTTGGGACCTTCACTGTCTGTTTCTTTTCTTTTCTCTTTTCGTGTCTTTTCTTTTTCTTTTCTTTTCTTTCTCTTTCTTTCTCCACAAAGACCTGGAGTTTGACTCTAGATCAGAATTATGGGTTCAGGGATCTGTAGCTCTCATTAGCTTTCTTTCTCCATAAAGACCTGGAGTTTGACTCTAGATGGGTTCAGGGATCTGTAGCTCTCATTAGCTTTTCAGAAGTCTGTAAACCCAACTATAATAATAGTACAGCCGAGATTTATTCAGTGCTTACTGATGGCCATGTATGCTCTAAGTCAGCGGTTCTCAACCTGTGGGTCGCGACCATCGGAAAACACACATAGCATATCAGATATTTACATTAAAATTCATAACAGTAGCAAAATTACAGTTATGAAGTAGCAATGAAAATAATTTTATGGTTGGGGGTCACCACAACATGAGGAACAGTTTTAAAGGGTCGCGGCATTAGGAAGGTTGAGAACCACTGCAAGTGTTCTCATTGCTTTACTTGTATTCACCCGTTTACTCTTTACAATGATCCTATGAAGTGGATGCATTTGTTATCTCCATTTCACAGAAAAGGAATCTGGTGAAGAACGTTGCCATATCAGGGGTAGGCAAACTTTTTGACTCGAGGGCCACAATGGGTTCTTAAACTGGACCGGAAGGCCGGAACAAAAGCATGGATGGAGTGTTTGTGTGAACTAATATAAATTCAAAGTAAACATCATTATATAAAAGGGTACAGTCTTTTTTTTTTTAGTTTTATCCATTTCAAACCGGCCGGATCCAGCCCGCGGGCCGTAGTTTGCCCACGACTGCCTTAGATCTTACAGGCTTGATGTGATGTGATTCTGTGGCTGTGGTTTTTTTATTTATTGTTCCAAATGTCATCTAGCCATTTAATTATTTGTCCCCTCTTCCTTGATATTTGACCTGTTTCTCTTCTTAAGCTGTAGGGAGCAGCTATAGGGTCAAGCCTCGGACTGATCTGTGGCAGAGCCACAAACAAGTCCCAGCTTGGAGGGCAGAGCCCTCCTAGCACAATTAAGCTTGACCTTATAGTCCTCCCTTGTTCCTTCCTAGGTAGCTAATGGGCTGTGGGAGGTGCAGCAGGTGCTGCCAAAACACGGTTTGAGTAAGGAAATTCTCAATAGCATTGTAAACATGTTGACCACTCCCCTTGTTTTGCTTTGTGTGCTCTGACTATAAAGTTGGGCTTACAGGCTGGGTCACTGTTTCCTCATCCAGGCAGTGATCCACCTGGTCCCAACTGTATTCTCTTGTCTGTTTTCTTTAATCCTTTACTGCCCCTCCTCAGGTTCACCCCTGGCTATGCTGGACGCGGTTCATTAAGCTAAATGTTTGACTGAATAGGATAGCCTTCCCAGAGAAAGAATCTATGAATTAGGTTATAAGTTTCTGCCCTTCTCCATTAAAACCACTAATCATTTTCTCAATATCCATTTAAAGGAGACAATTTAGAGGCAAAGACAAAAGATTCACAGGTGGTGATGGCAAAGGTGAATCTTTGGGTCCAAAAAAGAGAACAAAGTAAGATTATTGTGCAACTCATAAGGAAGCTAAGACTGTTTTTGTTTTTGTTTTTTCTTTGTGAAACAAGCTACTCTTGAACATGTTAGAAGCTGAGTCAGGATGGTATGAAATGGGTAGACTGAGAAATAGAACCTAGTTGGGGAGGTTGTATATCATAATAATTAAAAATCAGAGACTTTTAAAAAATATGTTTGTATTGATTTCAGAGAAGAAGGGAGAGGGAGAGAGAGAAAGAAAGAAACATCAATGATGAGAGAGAATCATTGATTGGCTGCCTCCTGCATGTCTCCCACTGGGGATCGAGCCCAAAACCCAGGCATTTGCCCCAACTGGGAATCAAACTGTGACCTCCCGGTTCATGGGTCGATGCTCAACCACTGAGCAACACCGGCTGGGCAAGCACAGACTTTTGAATGAGAAAGACCCAGATTCTTTTCCCAGCTCTACCACTTAACCTCTGACTCAGGTGTAAATGGAATGACAGTACCCATTTTATAGGGTTGTTTATAGGATTAAGTGAGATAATGTTCCTTGTAGCACAGTCTTGGTATACTGAAAGCACTCACTAAATGTAACTAAATACCTCTCATCTTTTATTTAAGTATCAAGGATTGTTGTGTACAACCCTTAGCACAGTGCCTGGCTAAAGTATACACTCAGTATTTGATAGCTATTATTATTTCTACTAACACTAGTAAATAAGTATTTACTGAGAACCTACCTTATTCTACAGATAGGTCTCTATTTTCAAGGAGTTTACGCTAGTAGGCTGCATGGACTAGTAAACAGGCAGTTATAAATGCCATAAATACTGTAATAGTGTGTTATGATAAGTTGGGGTCAGAGAAGGCTTCTGGAGGAAATAATGTCTGCGGTGGAGTGGGGTGATAGATCCAGGCATGGAGCAAGTGTTTCATCGCAGTCAAGGAGTCTGTTTGCATTTTCCCATTTAGCTAAAACATATAAATGGGAAGGAGCAAAGTTAAACCATGGAGCTAGTGAGGTAAGTTATCACCACTGTAGGAAATTTAGAGACATCATTAGAAGGTAATGTAGGGAGCCACCAACAAAGGGGAGGGCCCATGATTAGATTAGCATTTTCAAAAGATTGCTTTTAACTACCATGTAGAGTATGGAATCCACACAGACAAGAGAGACAAGTGAATTTGGTTTGGGATGGGAAAGATCATAATCTTACCCTTTTCTTTGTTTATTGGGAACAAATGACCTAGAAAGATTCAGTGATGGTAAGGATGAGATGATGTATGTTGATAGGAAGGAATATAAGATTAGAAAGGCACCATAGACCTGTTAACTTGGTTATTTTGGGGGTAAATAAATGCCTAAAATAGGTATGACTCAGGAAAGTGAGGTATGTACATGTCTGTCTTTGTTCTGGCTGCTATAACAAAATACCATTGGCTAGGTGGCAGATAAACAATAGAAATTCATTTCCCACAGTTCTGCAGGCTGGGAAGTTCAAGATCAATGCATGAGCCAATGGCCAATTCTGCGTCTCATAAAGGCCTCATTCCTGTTTCATAGCTGACTTTTCCCTGGTCTTTAAAGGGCTGAGGCATCTCTTTCAGACCTCTTTCATAAGGAAATTGATCCCATTTATGAAGACACTGTCCTTAATACCAAATCACCTGCCAAAAGCCTCACTTCCTAATTACCATCACATAAGGTTTAGGATGTCAATATGAGGATTTGGCTGGGGGTTGGGAGGCACAAACATTCAGTCTGTAACAGTAAACTTCCTTGACTGTGTCTGTTTTTACATTAAACATCCCTCTGGTCCTATGTTACAAACTAGTTATACTAGTTACTAGTTAGATAGTAGTCCTATTCCATAGGAATGTCTTGAACATTTCTACTGGGTTGTCTTAACTGGTTAGAACACTAATAAATACTTCTCATCTAAAAGTTTTGAAAATGTATTTTGGGGGAAAACACACACACACACAAGAAACCAAACATCCTATATAATAAAGAGGTGATATGCAAATTGACCATCACTCCAACATACAAGATGCCATCTCATGTGGTCAAAGATGGCCAGCAGGGGAGGGAGGGCAGTTGGGGGCAACCAGGCCTACAGGGGAGGGCAGTTAGGGGAGACCAGGCCTGCAGGGGAGGACAGTTGGGGGTGACCAGGCCGGCAGGGGAGGGCAGTTAGGGGCAATTGAGCC